CGAGGGGTGATAAGTGCTAGCTAGAGTATATAGAAGGGTAATCATCTGCAATTCACCTTTTCAAATATTAGTCAACTAATAGTAAATAAAGATTAAGGAAGATGCATGCATGCAGACTGCAAATATGCGTACAATTATATCATCATGATATATCTATAAGCATGTACGGAACATCATAATTAAGGCAAAATATTATCTGTTAATGCACCTTTTCAGTAAGTTTCACCATCATAGATTCAACAGCAGTTGAATCAGCAGATGATTTATATGTTGCTTCAAGAGTTCGGATTGCAACAGCTGTATCCATGTTCACTGATGAAAAATCCCCATGATCATCCTGTAATATGGGTCCAGATCATATCAAATAAATATAATATAACTTTTTTAATGCGTAAAGACAATTAACAAAAAAAAATGATACCTGCAAGTTCTTGCACATAGCTATAATCCTATCAAAATCAGTGTTTATTGCCCGTAAAAAGTGATCTGAGGGACTTTGCATGATTGGACAGGGGAACCCAGCATTTGAGAAATGCTGCACCAAATAAATCAAAAGAAGTCAATTACGTGACAAAAAAGAAAATGTAAACAGGATGATGTCCAAAGAGGAAAAGTATTTAATTACAGTAAGAAAAGGCGTAATTATCCAATCACCAGAAGTATTATATATACATACTGAGTAATATTATCAAGCCCCATCTAGTGACAATAAAAACCATATTTTTCCTTTTCTAAGCCTAGGTTGATTGCGGTTTCCAACTCAATGGACTCATCATCTTCCTTCTCATACGGAAACCTTCCATACTTTATGGGAAATTTGTAGGGTCAATTTTGTTGGAGTTGCAATGTCTGATTGGACTGTGCAGGATAACCCCCCGATTCACAGCTTCAAAGCTCCATAGGAAACTTATATATTATGCAGAAAGGTACATATGTAATTCTACATGTAGCTTGTAGCCCTGGTCTCTATCTACAGATATGAGCTCTCTCTCTTCTAATTGTAACTTTATCAGAAAGAAAGAAGAAACCCTATTGCGGCTGCAGATGTAGGCAAAATGTTGAACCATGTAAAATCCTTGTGTTTTGTGATTGCTTTTTTGTCTTTCTCGTTTTTCTATCGCTTGTAGGAGTTCCGATTCCTAACAAAAAAGTTCTCCATGTGCTAAAATGGGCGTAAAATCCTCTGTTATCTAGATATGTCTCATTACAATGACATTTATAAACTTTGCTGACAATCCACTTTTACACACATGGTTCTTTGGCAGAATTTTGAATTCAAACTAAAAGGACCGGACCAAGGGAAAATTTAGTTTCAAAGGTAAGTCGAGAATTCAGTCGTTTACATTGAATTTATGATCTATTGCTCAACCGAGTTAACTTCAAAGTTAGTCTTACAGTACTGGGATACCATAATTTTGAGCTCTGCTTGTTGCCAAACGATGTCCTTGACAAGCAAACAAGCAAAAATAGCCTGATGGAAAATTGCCCCGCAAGTCAATGTTATATTAATCATATTATGTAGTGTAATGCAAAAACATAAAAAGAATATGAATCTTACCTCTAGCTGCAAATGAATGAGAAAAATAGCCAAATTTTAAGCATCTACAACTACAAGTTTGAACTCATAGGCCTCAAGCCCTAGAACTTGATATTTATGTCAAGCTAGGTGAAGCTCACAACAGTTCATCCATTTAAAACCCATATCTTGCTGACGGGTAAATAATTTTAAGTTTTAACTGCATTTACATTGAATTTTACATAAACAAAATATGTTTAATTCAATGTAGGGCCCATTACTTGAGATTTTCTGATTTAGTTTATGTTATAATATAAAATTGTAACCCTAAAGCCTCATCATAACTTCGGAGTTGTTGAGGTTATTAATATGTCTATATAGTCTCACATCGGATACGATAAGATAAGAAAGAGTAATGAATTTAAAATAAGATTTGGGGCCAATACGCTATACCTTTTGAGTTAAAATTGGTTTCTAGCCTCTATTTAAAGCTCATCAACTCTAGATTGGGCCCAATTTATTCCTAACAAAAGGTTAAAAAAATAAAGTTCAATGTGAAGCCCGAAGATGTCATGATGCGGGACGATGGGAATTTTAGGGTTTTATGTAAGGGATTTAGGAAATTTGGGGAAGAATAAAGATTTGGGGAAAGGTAGGGTTTGGAAAATTAACGAGATATGACCACGAATCGCAACCCGGGCCTTGACTTCACCATCATTGACTCAATCTTAGAGATCAAATCAATTACCCAAAGTTTCACAAATGAAACAAAATTTTCTTCAAATATTCATTGCTTTATTTCATAGAATTGACCTCTTTAAATAGGCCTTCAACAACCACAAGTTCATTCTCATATCCGATGTGGGACTAAAATTATTGAGCAAATACAATAAATAGAAAATAAAAGTAACACTAGCTAGACTCCAAGTCTTCTAAGAATCAAAACCAAATATGAGTTGAAGCAACACGACGATGACGGCGAAAGTATATGCGAAGTGGAGGCTGTGTGATGTCCTCATCAATTCCCCCGGGGTGGGAGGAACTCGACTCTGTCGAGTTAGGCTCCAACTGACCCTCATAATGCTCCAATAAATCCGGAGCTAGGCGCTGTAGGTCCTCACAAGTAATCCATGTATCATTAGATTCAGGACGACCTTTCCAACACACTAGATATCGTCTACAACCACCATCTTTGGTGGAGATGATTTGGTCATCCCGAATGCTATCAATCTGTTCAGCTGTAAGTGGGACAAAAGTAGTAGGTAGTGGTGGTAATGGGGGTCTCTCAAGGAAAGGATCAGGGGTAGGCTCATCAAGATCCACAAGTGGATTTTCAGGGTTAAAAGGAGGACCTGGGTAGGCTCATCAAGATCCACAAGTGGATTTTCAGGGTTAAAAGGAGGACCTTTATAAGCTACCAAATCTGCAATATTAAATGTCGTCCACAAGTGGATTTTCAGGGTTAAAAGGAGGACCTTTATAAGCTACCAAATCTGCAATATTAAATGTCAAACTAATTCCGAAATCTGGAGGTAAATCGATTACATAGACATTGGAGTTAATTTTCTTGATAATCTTAAAAGGTACAGAGCACGCAATTTCTTGACGGCTCCAGGTGAAAACCGTTCCGAGCGAATCCGAATCATGACATAATCACCTTCGTTAAACTCAAGATGTTTTCTATGTAAATCAGCATGGGACTTATATTGTTCATTGCTTTCTCGAATTTTTTTGTTGATTTCTTGATGCAAATCATGAATGTGTGATGCAAATGCAACTGCTGACTCGGACACCCTAGGATGACGCGACATGGGAATAAGGTCTATAGGCTTCCTAGGCTTGTAACCATGCACCACTTCAAATGGACTCATGCCTACTGATCTATTGACTACGCTATTGTATGCAAACTCTGCAGTGGGTAACAGAAGATCCTAATTTCCTAAATTCTCACCAACCAAACAACGTAAAAGATTGCCTAAACTCCTATTAACTATCTCGGTTTGACCATCAGTCTGGGGATGAAAAGCAGACGAATGCTGAAGTTTAGTGCCCATCTTGTGTCATAGAGTTTTCCAAAAATAGCTCATAAACTTCACATCCCTGTCAGATTCAATGGTTTTGAGCAAACCATGCAATTTAACCACACCATCAAAGTAAATCCGAGCAATTTTGGAAGTATCAGAAGTTTTGTTGCACGGCAAGAAGTGGGTCATCTTTGAAAAGCGATCCACAACTATAAAAATGGAATCATGTTTTCTGATAGTCTTAGGAAGTCCCAACACGAAATCCATACTCACATCCTGTCAGGGACAATCTGGAACAGGAAGAGGTGTGTACCGGCCAGTATTTTGTTTACGTTGCTTAGCTAATTGGCAAGTGCGACATTATCCTATTAACTTCGCAACATCTCTTTTAAGGCTTGGCCAGTAAAATAAAGTTTCCACAGCCTCCATAGTCTTTTCACGACCAAAATGACCAACAAAACCTGCATGCAATTCCCAAACAAGATAATCTCTCAAAGAAGTATGGGGAATGCACAACTTGCGAAATCGAAATAAATAACCATCTTGGAGCAGAAAGCCATCTATCTCGGGAGTCACTCCTTTTAAAGAAACAAAGATCTCTCCAAAGTCGGGACATGATTCATATTCCCTTTGATTCTTTCGAAACCCACTACCTCTGCACTCATTCGGTTTAGAAGACAAGTTCGGCGACTGAGTGCATCAGCCACATTATTCTCAACTCCAGCCATGTGTTTAAGGGTATAAGTGTAGTCTTGTAGAAATTCAACCCATCGAACACGCCTGGCATTGAGTTTCTTCTGAGAGTTAAGATACCGAAAGGCTTCATGGTCCGAGTAAATAACGAATTCTTGCGGTAAAAGATAATGTCGCTAATAACGCAATGATTGCAAAATCGCATAGAACTCCTTATCGTAGATAGAATAGTTCAATTTAGCACCACTAAGTTTTTCACTAAAGTAGGCAATGGGGTGCTTCTCCTAGCTCAATACTCCACCTATACCAATGCCCGAGGCGTCACACGCGACCTCAAACACCTTAGAGAAATCAGGAAGTCTCATAACAGGTGCATCAGTCATCCTCTATTTGATTTCTTTGAAAGCCGTGACAGCTTCTTCGGACCATTGAAATTCCTCTCTTTTCAGGCAATCTGTAATTGCGGCCATAATAGCACTAAACTCCTTGAAAAATCGCCTGTAGAAAGTTGCGAGCCCATGAAAACTTCTTACATCGCGTATACTCCGGGAATCGGGCCACTCTACAATTGCCTGAACCTTTTGAGGATCAGCAGAAACTCCTTGAGAAGACACAACAAACCCCAAAAATATAACTTGGTCAGTCATAAAAACACATTTCTTGGGATTTGCAAATAGTTTCTCTTTCCTCAAAGTGAGACAGACTTGATTAAGATGATCAATATGATGCTCCAACGACCTACTATAAATTAAGATATCATCAAAGTATATGACCAAAAATTTTCCCATAAAAGGTCGTAGTACCTGAGTCATAACTCACATGAAGGTGCTGGGAGTATTTGTTAACCCAAAAAACATAACCATCCACTCGTATGGACCATCTTTCGTCTTGAAAGCTGTCTTCCACTCATCTCCTGGACGAATCCTAATTTGATGGTAGCCACTCTTCAAATCAATTTTAGAAAATATGGTGACTCCAGACATCATATCTAACATATCATCCAGTCTGGGAATAGGAAATCGATATTTCACGGTGATTTTGTTGATTGCTCGACTATCAACACACATTCTCCATAAACCGTATTTCTTAGGGGTTAGTAATATCGGCACAGCGCACGGACTCAAACTCTCTTTAATGAACCCCTTAGTCAACAGTTCTTCAACCTGCCTCTTGAGTTCGACGTGCTCAGTTGGATTCATTCTGTAATAAGGCAAGTTGGGAAGAGTAGATCCTGGAACAAAATTTATAGCGTGTTGGATGTCACGCATCGGGGGTAGAACGTCAGGGAGTTCTTCCGGGAAA